GTATATATATTATCTGCACAATACCTGTAGTACATGCTCGCGATTCTGCTCATTTATAGTGCCAACACGCTCAAACGAATTTCTGCAATTATTAATGAATTGGAATATGTATGAAATCACTTGCAGTAACTTGTCAAAACTAGAATATTTGACAATCAACTTCTCTAATACATCTGATTCTTATCGTACAACATGTATAACTTATTAATTTTATTTTTTACATTTTAACTTTTAACTGCTCCGGTAACATTTCCGGATATTGTGGTTGATCAGGCCAATCACTCTCATCTAACGCCAACCATTCTGGGTCGTTCCACCACCAATGTGAATTTATTAATTCCTGAGGCTTCACCTCACGAGAAATTATGTCCGCGGGATTATGTTTAGAAGAGACGTGATGTGATACGATTAGGAACAAACACTGAAAATCTGCGCGAACGCGCTCTAATCCACGACAACGTGATAGTGGAGTCGGTCCAGAGAAATATCTTATGCGGTTGGATATCAAATGACTTTAGCAACTTATCTTGAAGTTGAGTAGTAAAAGAGCTGCACATAGACGCGGTAACGAAATCTCCTTCGCTGGTGCAACTTATGAGTTAGATGCTAAGAGACGCATTTGAAAATGCATTTTGGATATCGCATGTTCGTATGTAACAGCATGCACCATACGCATATTGACTGGTATCTGAAAACCATGAAATTGAATTTCTAACATTTCGAGGGTTACACCAATCATTCGTGGAATACATATCTCCGATAAATTTGACATTTATTCTTTATACTCCAGCCAATGTGAATGCATGTTGGCGGGAACTGAAGCATCCCAATGCAATTGCAATTTCTACAACTATTGAATCATTAACTTGGCTAGAAGAATGACTGGGCTGATTAATCCTAATGGATCAAACAATCGAGATATCTCAAAAAACATATTCCTTTTCGTTATATTTGACTGCATGCCCTTTACATCAAATGTATACCGAAAAGAATCATCATGTGGATTCCATTGTAAATCGAATATATGAGTTTCATAATTTTCATTTATAGAAACACAATCCTGCTTCCTGTTATAAAAAATTCCTTCTAAAAGTTCAATACAGTTGGAGAACCATTTGTCTAGCGTGAAGTAACCCTTCGACCCTGATTTCAATAATTTGATTACGTTTGGCCTTTGCATCGGTCAATGAATGTGCACCTGTTAACAAATCGTCAACATAAACATCGTTGATTATAGCCCATGAACTCTCAAAAAAATCTCTTTGACGCAGTTCTGCCAAATATTTCAAACATCTAATTGCTAAATATGGAACAGAGGCAGAGCCATATGTTACAGTTGTTAACTGATAAGTAGATAGGATCACCAACATTTTCTCGCCATGAAATGGATTGCAACGATGTTTGTGCCAGATCCACGAGTATCTGCCTATACATTTTTACTATGTCAGCAGCAAAAACATATTTGAATAACCGAAATCTTGCTAATAACGCAAATAAGTCTGACTAAACTACTGGACCTTACCATCAAAATCATATCATTTAGAGATACACCAGTATCTGATTTGCAGGATCCATCAAAAACTACTCTTAACTTGGTATTTGTGTCGGTTGCCTTGAACACACAATGGTGTGGTAAATAAAATAACATGGGATAACATTAAAATTTTAGATACAGAACAATCATTGATGAAACGAAGAATTTCAGAAATGATACACATTAAAAACCAAATAAGTGGGATCAATAAACAAAGTGATACTGAAGGTTTGCCTGATGTTTATCTTCCTCTTCTAAAGAAAGATCTCTCTCGCACATAATAAATAATTCTAGAACTTTCTAAACTATTTGACTCATGGATATAAATAGCGGAAAAATATGTGATACGACCAATAACAACACATAGTGTCACGACAAATTTCTATCTGTGAAATAAGTACTCGTTCTACACTTTTCTCTACACTTTTCACTACATGACTTCTGACGTTCTAATATTATTATATGAAGCAGCGTCGCATTGATGCAAACACGATTTTTACAATTATAACACACGACGGTTGAATTTTATTCCAACTTGATGTAACTTTGCGTCTTAAAAATATTATTAATTTTACTGAAGATGGCCAGATTGTGGCCGAGTTTAATGTTTTTATTGTAATTCATAATGCAAGAATAATTAAATATCACTAACTACATCTTGTGCTGTGGTTCTTTATGCTCTTTCTTTTCATATTTTTAACATTTTATTATTAGAAATAGAATCGTTTACTAATCGCATAGATTGTAATACTCTTGCATGAACGACGTATATTCAATTTTTAATTGTTCATTATGCTTAAAACGTCTTTCTAAATTATGAAATCTTTTTAGAGAGCTATATTTTTGGATTCATCGAGCTATTGAGCGTGTGCGGTCTTGATTGGCAATGTAACAATAAATATACGCTGTTTTGTTTAATAGTTCGCAAAAAATGTTCCTCGCACTCACTCGCATGGTCACTCGGTGACCAAACGTTTTGACTTGAAATATTGTGATCAAAATCTCAATCAATTTCGTTATTAACAATTTCGTTCAAGATCACTATTTGACGTATCAGGGATTATTGAACAACTATTTATCAAGGCCCTGGCACCACCTTTCAAGTATGTGTTATTGATGGAGCCTGCCAATATCCAACCAAAATTTATTTTTTGTTGGATTATTGACAGATGATTTTATTTGACCGATGCACAAAATCCGCCAAAATATATCAGCTCCGAGCAACAATTAAACCGCTGAAGGTACATTAAACTGAGGATCGACAAGTCTAATGTTTTTTAGTATATTCATAGCTTGTTTGTTTAAATGCATCATAGGAACTGAATCAGTAATTTTTTCGTTACTATACATTCAACAGTTAATTAGAAATTGTTTATGTGAGACTGAATTTTAATAGTGACTATGTCCTTTGCATTATTCATCATTTGGTTTATTCCAACTATAGATATGTTTTGCTACCTAATTTTTAAACTTAACTAAGATAGAAATTCACGTGTAATCAAATTTGCTTAAGAACCGTTGTCCAATAATGCCTGCTGAGTCAAATGCATTAACCACTGCAGTCGATAGTATAACATAATTTGCTTAATGTTGCTCACGTTATGAGTAATCATAGTTTGTGAAGTGGCAATTTCAGAAGAACTGACTTGTTGTTGAACATCTGTCGCATTCTTTGAACTGTTCTTATCTAAATGCAAAAGCGTGTTGTGCTTCAAACTACAAGTCTTGCATGTGCATTGCGCAGCCGTATAACTCTTAGATTGGAGATAATTTATACATAAATTGCACTTTTTCATCTCCTCTATTCTGCGGGATATAGGTAATTTTAAGAAAGATTGAAAAAATAAATGAAATGATTCTTATCACAAAAATTACATTTTGAAGTTACTGATGCAGCACAACTTATAGTTAATTTGCGAGCAAATGATTGACCTTATTATTCGATGTAGATGCACTCTCTTTATTAATAATTGACTCAAGCGTGCTTAAGAATGCCTATAGGTATCACGTAATTTAAAGAAACGCACAAAAGGCTTGGGAGGAAAAGGGAAATTGACAGGCAAACTGATCGACGAACTGTCAATATATTTCGGGTTAGCTATTCGTAGAAATTGCGAATCAGTCGAAAAAATGAAGACAGCTATATGGGCTACATTACTTCACAAAATATCTACGGATAACCAACGCCACTTCAACTCGACAGTGTGGGCGATGGCTCCGAAAACTATGAATTCCGGCAAAATAATCATCGACATTGCTACGAACATCGCTTCGTGTGTTTTTAATGACGGATTAATATCAATTTTACATATAATCCAGGTCATGGGCATGAAAATGGCCCAAAAAGTCACGAACTATGCATGGACTTGGATGAGAAACGCATCCAGAAAGCGGAACGATCTTTGAGTGAGGGCGCAAAACAGGCCCGCATCGATCTGAAAACAATTCGAAAGGCCAAACAAGAGCAGGAGATAGATGAAGAAGGCCAATTGTATGGCGCAGGCATCGCAGATTAGAGGTATATAAAAATATTATATGATTTTACAGTACTTAAAACTTTAAACGCGTTTTTCTCGAAAAACACTTTTTTTAAACTGGGCGGACACATAACTCGAATAAATCTTTACCGATCGGTTTCAAATTTTGACAGTATATTCAGAATACCTTTCTCTATGGAAGTGCGTAGGGTTTTTTTTTATATTACATGGTTTTTTTTATCAACAATTTTATGGCGTTTTTTTTGTTAAATTTGCAAGTTTTCCTTAAAACGTGCACCATTTTGCGAAAAATTAATATATCGAAAAAATCCTACGTACTTCCATAGCTATTGATATATAGAACCTAAAAAACTGTCATTTTTTGTTCCAGGTCAAAAATTAAGGACTCTAGATGTCCGCCCATGGTCCCTCCTTCAAAAATAGGCGCCATCCGACAAGTGCGGCACAGCCGCCATTTTTGTACCAAAAATGTATGAAAAAATTCTTATTTGTACTTCATTCATAATATTATAATGCTTATTTTACAAATTTTTGATTGATCATTTCATTGAGCCAAAAAAAATTCCCGAAAATATACTTACTTTTTCGTGCTCTACTGTGGTTTCCACCCTTAAGGTTTCTGCTGTTGAATATCACGACAATGGGATACCAAGATATAGATATCCGCTACTTGGTTGGTGCAATGAATAACACATTCCGTAAGAAAATAAATTGAATACATTTGGCTCACATAATCTTGAGCTCAGTACGCAAGATACAAAATACGTGCGGAAGCAGTTAAGCGATAACGAAGGGGAGCGCGAAGCCCTCTGGCGCCATGCGAACGTACCAACCTAAACTGTATAGGTCGGCAGTTATAGACAGAAAAAAATCGACTTTACTATCCATAGGATACATAACAACTGTATTGCATATTATTTACGTACGTGGCGCCATGCGAACGTACCAACCTGTATAGGTCGGCAGTTACAGACAGAAAAAAATCGACTTTACTATCCATAGAATACATAACAACTGTATTGCATATTATTTACGTACATCATGGTACATTACGCATATCGTATTAATACAGCGTACTATTATCGACAGGAGAGAGACTGTGGAGATCTCTAGTCGAAGACGATATATTGGTATTGTGAAAGTACAGCATATGATTTCCTAACCTAAAAAGTCATTATAACATTAAGATTAAATATTAGATAGTAACTGACTGGATGTTCAGTTGAATTGCATAAATTTCTATCAGGACCATATTGAACAGATGTATCATAACATCCATGATTATATTGATGTTCGTGGATCATCCAAGTGTGCAGCGGTTCCCATACGATTTCAGAAATCAAGAATAGTGGATGGCGTATATGTAACTGGATGGGTGATCGTTTCAAAGCACTATGAAATTAATTCTCGAAAAACGTTCAGGGGAAAATATTTCTTTTTTAATCATAATTATATGATGCTGGAATAAGATATTAATCAATAATAATACTCATATAAAAATCATTTTGTCTCGATTGTGGTTTAAAATTTGTTTAATATATTAATTTAGTCCAGTTTTAGTTCATTGCGTTCTAAAAATGGACATTTTTAAGAAGTCCAAAATGATAACACTGTACGAGAGCAAATCAATAAGTACCCGTGTTTCAAGACAGGCGACGTTGCTGATGCAAGTTGGCATTATCATCGTGTACTACCATCTTTCAAACGACGCCATACAAAATTTCAGAGTGATTCATGCAATAGTCTTGATTTGACAACAATTCGTAGTGAGCGTGTTTGATGTTTTCCGATACAATGGAAAAAGAGTAATATCGATCCGTAATTCGTTTCTTATTTTTGGATGGAAAAATGTACGAAGAAATAAAAACGAAGTTAGATGCTGTCTACGGAAACTCTTCACCATTTATGATAACTATCAGATATTGGTTCAACGAATTCAAACGTGGTCATTCGTCTGTTTTTGAGGAGCGCTCAGGCAGTCCAGCAGACGTGGTTACTAAGGAAATCGTTGAAAAAGTTCTCGCTGAGTGATTCTCTGACACGACATGATTCTCGCTGATCGCCAAACGAAAGTGAGTGAAGTAGCAGAGGCCGTAGGCGTACGGAACGGCATTCAATATTTTGCATGATAACTTGGGAATGAAAAAGCTATTGCCCCGATTGATGCCGCGATTGCTCACGATGGACAACAAGCGGATGCGGTTATCAATTTCAAAGCATGATCGAATTGCGCTATAAATTGCTGCCACATCCACCGTACTCTCCGGATTTAGCCCCCTGTGACTTGAAAAAATGGCTCGATGGGAAGAAATTTACGTCGAATGAGGAGGTCATCGCCGAAACAGAGACCTATTTTGCAGAGTTCGACAAATCGTATTTTTCTGAGGGATTAAAAAAATGGCAGAAGCGTTGAGAAAAGTGTATCCTCCTAAAAGAGGATTATGTTAAAAAATAAAAAGATGAAAAAAAAATTTTGTGAAAAGCTTGCGTCTTCATTACTAACGCGGGTACTTATTGATTTGCCCTCGTATGTCTTTAAAATGTTTTTAAAATATTCATAGATCTAATCTGGATGTTTTTAATATGTCCAAAACGTCCGACATATACGTTTTAAATATATTTTTAAAACATTAGTATGCTTTTTGAGCTAATTGATCTATTAATTGATAAAGGTTCGATCCATTTATTAATCAAATAATTTATGGATTCGATCCTTTATGGAAAGGATAAATCGAATCTACACAAATCAAATTAAGCTCTGATTTTCAATCCGCCATATTAGATTCGGCATTTTTAATATTGCCATATTAACTTTAGGTATAAAATTAGCGACTCCAAAAGCCCTTGAATTCTGATTTTCATTTCTCTAGAAGAAAAATATATATTAAAAAAACCAAATCAGAGCCGAAACCAGCTGTTCGGGTGCACATGTCTTTATTCTCCTGTGAAAAATAATAATGAAATAATAAACATTTCAACTCTTCTTTTTAAGTTCTTATCAATATAATATATACCATTTTTATTTCAAAATTGGCATTTGGATAAGAGAGAACGTGCGAGTTTGTCGTATTTCACCACCTTAAATAGATAATTACACCGACTTTAATTACATTCTTGAATAGGTTACTTATATTTAGTGTAAGGTTTTATATTGATAAGGACTTAAAAAGAAAGGTTGAAACGTTTATTATTTTGTATTGTTTTTCACATGAAAATAAAAACATTTATGTGTCCCGAACAGCTGGTTTCGGTTCTAATTGACTTTTATATATATATTTTATTGATTGATTCTTACGAGCTTCTTTTCATAGTTTTGTTTGTAATTATAAGAAAAATTGATACCGCTATTCTAAATATTCAGTTATTTGGCGTTTTGTCTCACTGTGCAAACAAAATGATATTTTATTTTTCTTATTTGGATGTGAAGTTTAGTTGTGTCAAGAATCGACAACGAGGATACATAAAAATATCAATTTACGGATAAATAAATTGTACTGAACATATTAAACCTATGTATTTTTTAAATACTATTTAACTTATTTCATGGTCTTTCAACATTTATTAACACAAAATTATCAATAAAAAACTTTATATTAAGATATTATTTAAAAATACATTAGTTAATCTATTATACTACTTAACACAGATTTTATGTGATCTTCTAAATTTAAAATGCCATACAATGATATTAATTGCTAAACATGTAAAAATCAGTTCTTAAATATTCTGAACTATCTACAAAACGATTAATAATGCCTTTTCTTTAAATTCTGTATTTGATTTTTGGCCAAGATTTTGGGTCGTCTGGCTCACTGTGGTTTAATAGAATGTATGTACTTTGAACTTGACATGCTCAATTTTGCTCTTTGTTTTTATTTTTTTCAAAGAAAATTTACGTTCGAGTACGATTACTAGGCGTGCGCCTAAAAGTGCTTACTAAAATGAGATAGTGATAAGCGGCTACCGCGTAGTCTATTCAATATAAACAAAGCAACAGTTCTTTGCGTGCCTAGTAATCATGCATAAATGCAAACCTTAAATGTAAACGCTCTACTTATATGTATAGACGATACATAATATAATTTCAAATACTATTAAAAGATTTTATTTCAGATCTATATTCAGGTTTTAATGATTCACTGATATTATTAAACTTATAATTCTCGTGTCCTGTATAATTGTTATTTTCAAATGTCTTATTTATTATAAGTTTACATACTCTCGTTAAAAAGTACCAAAATTTATTAAACAAGAAATCCTTGAGTTGATCCCGAAAAAAGAAAGTATTGAATCGACTGTCGATTACATTGTTCAGAAATTAAATATTCTAATTTCTAATGTGGAGCGCGAATCACTATTGAAGCTAAGAAAAGTAATTTCGTGTCTTTATTTGAGACGTAAAACTACAAGCTGCAACCAGAATAAGCTAGATTTGAATAAGATAGCTGCATGGCTTAATTATGATTTCGAAATCCCTCATTTAAGCTGTGATAAAGAAAGAAGCAGTTCAAGTTCAGGTCGACCTTCTCATTTGAAGATAAATCTTTGCGGTCAAAATGAATACGTATAGCTGCTATATATAATTAGTAATCAACACACTCAAAAATTGGTGATGACTTCTTTTTATACAGCAAATAAGTCAAAAGACAAGGATCTGAAAGTTCTTGATGAACTGGTAAATAATTCAGAAGCACCTAAAAAATAGTTGGAGTTAACATTTTAAAAGGAAAGTCTCCCTTAGAGGCTCTAGTATTTTTGTTAGATCACAGTTTAACAAAATCGACATATAGCCATCTATACTTAGAACAAAAAATGTGTGGCGCAGATACATGGTCTTCGTATAATGAAATCCGTAAAGCAAAATTACAGCTTAGACCTCCAAAAAAATCGATTATTTTGTAGCTTAAGTTCCTCTTCAAGCTCTTTTAAATCATACTGCTAAAAGAATAGTTAAGATGCAAGAAGAAGTATTTCTTGAATTATAAAAGTAATAAGGCTCAATAAATTTAAATAAATAAAAAAAATAAAGGGCTACGAGTCTAAAACAATCAACACAAATTAATAATCTGCATTAAACGGTTAAAAAATGAAATAAAAAATGTCATGAAATTAAAAAACGTAAAATATAATTTGACAGTCAGTAAGTGAACAAAAAACAAACGTTTCGATCCCTGTTGGATCATTTTCAATCTGACGACAAGATAAAAATGGATATAACATAGATAAAATATATAGAAATTAAATAAAATTCATACGGACGCAATCAACTATAAAACTCGCTCCAAATTGAGAGAAATCCAAACAAACGATTGTAGTTGACACCAATGTGTTTCTCCGAACTCTGCGTGTGCAAAAAGATGAACATGTTTTTGTTAGCAAGTACAAATTGTAATAATAAATTAACGAACGGAATAAATAAAAATAATAAGAAAAGTACAATCGAGTCGCAAATAATAAAAAGAAAGGTACAAAACAAATCGCAATTAATAAAATTAAATTAATAGAAAGAGGCGAAAATTATTTTTGATATTATAAGACATGTACAAAAGAATTATTAATGTTGATAAAGAATGAGTAAAGTACCGTCATTTATTGTATATGTATAATGAGTTTAGAACAAATAAATTAAGAATAAATACCTTAGTATGTGTGTCAAAATGGTGTATTATCGATTAGACAATGCGATGGGAATCAAAATTGATCATCTCTCTAGGAAGCTAAGAGATAAAATGAAATATGACATATAAAGACAGGAAGGTTGAAAACTAAAAAAGGAAGGGGGACATAATAAGGAGAAAATAAAATAGAGGGAAGAGAAAGTAAGGAGAGAAAAGATGGATAAGGAAGGAAAACAATTAAGAAGGAGAAAGAGATTGGATGATCTGTGAGTAGGTTTCAGGTAAAGATTCGGTATCATTTTGTCTATTAAGACCCTGTTTCTGTCTTTTAATATGAATAATTTCAGACACCAATCTCTTATTATAAAAAGATTCGCAGTCTAGAATTTTCACATCGTTCCATTTGAAATTATGATCAAATATTGATATTTCTTGCTATGAATGCAATATACTGAACTCTAACATGCTCTTGGGATTTTGATGGCAGTATAGGCCGTTCCGCTTAGCAGCAA